CGTGTCATGCACCCCTACTTCGAAAATTTAAAAACTGTTCTGTCACTCCAAATTAACCTCTCCGTATTCGTTCAATTCGACGAATAACACCACTAATCTTTTAACACATCAAATCCTCACACCGAACTGTTCCAAATAAAAGTTCGTATTTAGGTCATTCTGGTCGAATATCACATTTATAGCCAAATTTACATGCTTTTTTAGTGATATCTTTAGGTTTGTTCAAACTTTGCTTAAGCAATCAGCTGAATAGGTTTATTTTTTTAAACTGGGAATGGTTGATTGATTGTTGTGTTTTTATTCCTCCAATTTTTTTTCTCCGTGAAAAATTATAAATTGGTTTTAAAAAAACCAAGATGCATAGCATTCGTGTTTTAATCGGTCAACACTCGTTTTTTACCTGTAGTGAAAAGGTTTGCATTTTGGTTATTATTTGTTATTGATCCTCGAAAAGTGTTTTTAACTAGAAACATAATACTGGCTGTTTCTGAGTTTTTCGTGTCCTCTATGATGTTTATGATCATTTTTGGCTCATCTACTCTGTTGTAATCTGTACAGGTGTTAGTTTTCTCAGTCTGGTTGGCTTGATTTCTAACCATCTGACTCTCTTTACTTCTATTCACTTTGCTCTATTTTTCCATATCTAAAAAATTCCTAGGATTTTGACTGGGGAGAAAATGACGTAATCCAGAAATCATATGTTTTTAACTTTTCAATAAATGGAAATCAGCGGGTTTCGTCACGTGAAGTTCATCGCATTTTGGGTGAAATTAAATTTAGGAAGTGACTTGCTCGCTCAAAACTTGACCGATATCTAGCGACTAACAACGGCCGAGTGTTTGAAAATTTCTGGAAAACTTGTTGATTTTGGCTGGCAATTTTTATACGACCGACAATCAGAATAACGTTTTCCAAAAATTTTCAAAAGTTCTGCTATTTGTTGTTGCTAGAGGGAGGTCAGTTTGATTTTTTTTAAAATTGCAAATGGCCGACTGTCGCATTTGGTATGATCTGACTCTGATTTGTTCCAGTAAAATGGTAAAACATTTATTTGCAGTTTGATTGGATCTTAGGAGATGTCTGCTATTTTTTCTTCTAGGAAATAAATGCTTTCTAGTATTTTGACTGGACGACTTGATGTTTCTTTGCTACCTTGATAATTTTGACCTCTCGTTTGACCTCATATATCTTATTTTATGCGACCTGAAGTCAGAAATGACGTGCTTCAAAAATTCTCGTTTGACCTCATATATTTTATTTTTATGTGACCTGAAGTAAGAATGACGTGCTCGTTACCACGTAGTCTGGAGGTAACGAAAACGCCCTGGAGCGGCAAAGGTTTTTGGTTCGAAGCTGACCAGGACTTGGGTTTTTTAAACGGGAAATATTCAGTTTCAAAATATTGTCGGCCTCTTGATTCTCTGCTTTTGTTTTGTTGGCTGTTGCAACGTCTTAGATTTTTTGCTGTGCGCAATTTTCATTGTAGTTGCTTTAGTGTTGCGATTTAATCTTGCAATTTGTAATTTTAGTAGCCGTGACTTTATAATTTCCCCTTTATTTTTTCACTGAAAAGTTTTTTTTTCGGTCTAACTGATTTCAGCTCATACTTTATCAACTTAGTGACCTACTTTCGGGTAGTTTCAAGGGAACATAGTTTGTTGCTCGACTCCAGATCGCACAAAATGCAAAAAATCTTAGAATAGAATTTATAGTTCTAAGTTTTTTCATGTCAACAAATTTGTTTTCGGTTATACGGGAGTTTACTCAAGTTTTGTCGGCTCAGTTGCCACTCGATAATCGTTTGTTTTAAAATTTTTTCTAACGCCGTAGATTGTGTATCTGAACGTGTTTCCGCAAAAAGAACATCTTTCATCGACAATTTTTTTTAGTTGTGGTTGTTGTTGTTGTTGTTAGCCCACGCGGGTCGGGTTGGGCTCTTCTGTCTCCAGGTCAAGGAACTTAGCAACCTCTACCGGCCGAAGCCACAGGTCTGCTGGGGTGAGTGGGGAGGGGTTTTGGGAGCAGTTGAAAAGGTGACATGTTGTGTGGGGGGCAAGGGAACAGGTTGGGCAAAGGTGGGAGATGGAGCTGTCGAGGCGGGATAGGTAAGTGTTAAGGAGCCGGCTGTAGCCAGACCGGAGTTGGGAGAGCTTACAGCGCGTGGGACGTGGGAGAGATTTTTCAGAGGGGTCAATCTTTGGGGGAGGGATACAAATAACTTTAGACGGAGGGGTTTCGGCTAGGAACTTGGTTACAAGGGAGTTATGGTTGTCTTTTAAAATTGGTTTGTAGTAGTTAAAAATAAAAGTGGAGACTTCGTCTCGGTCGTCCAGAACTAGAGGGTGGTTTGCGTAGACTGAAAAGTCGGTTAAAATTTTCTGGGTGTCTTCTTTGAAGCAGCTTATAATTGAGGGGCGAAGTAGACGGGGAGGAGGGGGATGTGAATGTATAAAATTAATGGGATGGTGGGAACGATAGGTAGAGATAAAAAATTGAGATGACAGAAGGGTATGGTGGTCTTTGACCGTTAGGATTTCAGATTCACTGTGCAGGTGGGCAGTGGAACTCATTAGATTTGATCCAGTAACAACGCGAAGGGATTGGTTTTGGGCAACCTGCAGGCAATTTATGGAGGTGTTACTTGATGCGTGGGACCATGCGGGGGCTGCATAGTCAAGTATGGGGCGAATTAAAGCTTTAAAAGTTAGGAGGAGGGTTTCTTTGGAGTGACCCCAGGTTGATCCTGCTAATGCCTTCAGGATTCCGATCCTGCGTCTGGCCTTTTCAGCGGATTGTTTGCAGTGAGTGGCAAAACAAAGTGTTGGATCAAATGTCACCCCTAAGATTGTTGGATTTTTGTTTAGGGGTAGCGCCTCGTTATTTAAAAGAACACTAGGTGTTTTATTAAATTCTTTGTTATAAGAGGAGAAAAGTGTAACTGATCCTTTAGAGGACGCGAAACTTAGTTTGCGTGAGGTGAAAAAATCGTAGAGCCTTTTTAGGTAGCTATTGATGGAGTTTGAGGCGATATCAATATTGGAACTGCTTGCGAAGGGGTGGAAATCGTCTGCATACGAAACAAGGTTTACATTATCGGGAGGTGGCGGTGCATCATGGACATAAAAATTGAAGAGTGTGGGTGGTAAAACAGAACCTTGGGGTACGCCACAGTAAATTATTCGATGGGGGGATGTGTGTTCACGGAATGAGGTGGCAGCCTGTCGACCATTAAGGTAATTACTTAGCCAGCGGACTAGACTTCTTGGGAGGGGAGTGTCATGAACGAGTTCCACAAGTGAGCGATGACACAACATGTCGAAAGCCTTAGATAAGTCAAGTGTGGCCAGTACCGTACGTTTAGGGGGGCGATTTTGGTTAAAACCGTCTGAAATGTAAAATTCGAGAGTGGAGAGAGCTGTGGTAGTGGAGTGAAAAGGGCGGAAGCCGTGTTGGTGTTTGGCGTTGGGGAGATGTTTGGTAAAGATGGGGTGAACGAGCCCCTCCAGAATTTTAACTGCTGGGCAGAGTAAGGATATAGGTCTGTAAGATGTTGATTGTTTAAGATCCTTATTGGGCTTTAGAAGCGGTGCAATTTTTGAATTTTTCCAAATTTGGGGGATAATGTTTTCGGACAAAGAAATATTAAAAAGGTATGTTAAGTATTGAGTAGCAAGTGGGCCGAGATGTTTAAGATGTATATTACAAAGGCCGTCGGGACCTAGCGCTCGCGATGGTTTGCTGTCTGCAATGGCTTGTTTAGTATTTTCAGGGGTAAAAATTGGGCTGTCTGACAGCGGTAGTTTGGCAATTTTTCTTCTCGTTATACGAAGGAGTTTGTCAGAGGCGTGGGGTCTGGCATTGGTGAATTGTTTGTTAAAAGAGCTGGTAATATCACGAGGTGAGTGTATGGGTTTAGAACCAAAAGTAATGGGGTGTCTTCCTGCCACGGGCTTAGATCCATTTAAGGAGCGTACCACTTTCCAGAACTTTCTGGCACCAGTGCGGTAGTCGCAAGTCCGGAGGAATTCTCGCCATTTATTTTCTTTGTCCTTTGCTGTCTGTTTCATGAGTCTACAGTTCAGTTGGGATATGACTTCTGGGGGGAGATTTTGTTGTCGGCTTAAATCTCTTTCGGCGGCAAGGGCAGTGGACTCGGGGGAAAGAGAGGGAGTGAAGTGGCGAATACGGCCAGCGGGGATGTGGTGGCGTGCTGCCCTGAGCACCAGGTGCCTCAAGAATTTCTCTCCGGCGGCAACTCCGGAAGGTGGAACCGCTGAAAAGAAACCCTCCTCAATTTCCTCTGTGAATTTGATCCAATCTGCTTTTAAAAAATTTATAAAAGTTGTGGTAATCACCAGCGGATATAGGGGGCAGAAGAGGGAAATGCGGACGCCCCCCCCCCCCCCCCCCTCAGAGATTCGACCCTCTGCCGACCCAAAAGGTCCCCACTTTGTACTATTTTGAGTTTTCAATTTTTGCGCCAAAATATACTAATTTTCAGGGAGGAGCACGCGCCAAGAAAACGCGATTTTTTTTGGTCAAAATTTTCCACAAAGTGCAGTGCTAAAAACGCGCCTTTTTTGGCCTTTTTTTTCAAAATTTGCTTTTGGTAGAGATCAGAAAATCAAAGGCCGACAAAATTTTCGATTTTTTTTTTGAAAAGCACCCACCCCCGAAAAAATCTTGTTCCTTTACTGTCTGCTAGCTTACAATGCTAGTTTTATGTAGAATCGCAAGTGGTGCGAAGCTTTGCTTTGCTTCTTTGTTCGGTTTATTAATTGGAGGGAGCTATAATTTATTGGAGGGGCTATAATGCGAAAGACTTAAATTATCGTCGCTAGAGAGGGGTCACATTTTTAGTGAGCAGAGTACTTCCATTTTTTATCTCTGCACATTATCGACTGTCTAATTTGGTTTGATCTGACTCTGAGTTGTTGAATAAGTTAGTAAAACTTAATTTTCATTTGCTTGGACCAAAAGAAATGGTGGCTTTTTTTAAGGGAATAAATTTTTTTGTAGTAGAAGTATTATTTTAGACTCTTTTTGATCCTTCTTCACGATGAAAATCTCCAAAGCAATTCTTCTTGTCGCTTTGCTCCTAACATTTGGGGCGTTCTCGACTACTTCGTTTGGAGTGTTTGTGTCTGCAGAGAAGGGCTCTCCTTCTGATTCAGAGGTCCACGTCGAGACAGAAGATGAGGTGATCGAAGAAGGACAACCGGAACCGGGAACTCCAAACGACTACGCTAAATCGACTGAAGCCACCGCAACTGGTACTGTTGGACCCGCGCCAGATGTAGAAATGAGCTACATTCTCGTTGACGAATCTGACGTGAGTTTTCTTAACTGTTCCTTAAAGTTGACTCGTTAACTTCGTCTCGGGGTAAATTACACTCTTCAGTTTGTAGATCATCAAAGCTTATGATTTCTGTCAGCATCTGATTTATGTCTGTTAATTGCATCCAGTGTCCCGTTGAACCTTATGTAACAGGCAAGCCTATAAAACCGTGCGCTAGACTTCGTATTTTTTTAGTGTAAAAGAACGAAGTTCTTTTCACTTCTCAAAAGGTTTTAATGATTTCGTTTTTTTTCTGAATGAAATTTTTTATTGCATAAATTTGACTTTTAGGGGTTTCACTTTCGATTTTTTCCATATTTCAGTTGATTTGCTTTGTTGAAAGGAAGCACACTCCACTATCGAACATCAAGAGTGTATAGGTCACGAAAATCGTTATCGGCTTTTAATTTCGAAAGTGGATTTTAATTTTCAGATTTCCCTGCCGAATATAAGCCTTACCGTGTGATCATCCAGTTTGCTCAAATTTAGTTAGTTTTATCGAAAAAGTGTTAATAAAATTTTTTTTGAAATTCAAAGAGCTGTAGGCAATATATTTTTTCTTTTAAGTTACAAATGTGAAGTTTTTTCATGAATTTAGTCAGTTTATTTTTTCTCTTTCCTTGCCTTCATTGACTCTTTTCCAACTGTCTTAGGCTATGTTCTTTTTAGAAACATTTACTGATAAGAGCAGTTGAACTTTCTGCATATATTTTTTCTCATAAAAATCTGCTTTCTCTGGTCGGGTTAGTTAGTTTAAAAAAGTTTCAATTGTGAAATCTCAATCAAATTTAAAAGAGCTTTAAGTTTTAGAAGACTCCTAGGATCAAGTTTAAGTCTAGTAGTGGGTTTTTACATTTAAATTAGCACGTCTAGATGAATCAATGCCAGCGGAAAATTGATATGGAAACGTTTTTGCTTCTTTTACTCATATTTGTAATAGATGAATACACATCAATTGTTTGTTTTTGATGTGAAGCGAAATGTTTAATACGAAATGGTCAAGTCTAACTAAAACAGAAAAAACATGCAGATGCTCGATACTGAATTCCATACAATTTTGCGTGCAAATTGATTTTGCTGTTATATCGTTTGCGAATATGGTACAAAATGCACATTTACATTTGAAAATTTACAACCATTGTTTTTGTGTAAAAGACAGTATGCTACTACTTTAGAATTTAATACTGGCGAATGTTAAGAAGCAATGGTTTGTTAAGTTAGGCCATGCCTTTTAGATTAATTATCAATGATTGTTAAAGTTAATGACTGGTAATCATTACATTCAGTTCAGTAAACCTCATTTCGAACATACTTGTCTCCTTCTGTACATATGGAGAAAAAAACGTGAAGGTTCAGGGTAATACCGAATACGTAGGCACTATTATCAACAAAATGTGTGCCAAAATTTTTATGTACTTGAATGATTTTGTTTGTATCCCTAAATGTTTGGAGTTTCATATTTTCTGGTTCAATTAGGGTGTTTTAAGCGACAGCTGATGTATTTTTGGTGTTCTTCCAACCCGAGCTAAAGTTTTAAAGTACAGTTTGTGTATTTATGTGTTTCTAGCTTGAAAGTAAAAGTAAAATCTTGTTGCAGGAGGAGCTTCCAGCGGGAAAAGTTATCACTTGTCTCATATCATTCCGCAACACAGGGGAGACGAAACAGAGCTACAAAGTCGGAACAATCGACGCCTCTCTCCGCTACCCTATGGACTTCTCTTACTACCTACAGAATTACACGGCCAAGCTACTCAACCGAAGTGTAGACGCCCAACGGGAGGTCACGTTCTCGTACGTCTTCAAGACTTCGGAGCGCTTCGCCGGCCGACCGTTCGGGTTCGTGATTGAAGCTAACTATTACGACGAGGTTGACAGTCCCTTTGTTCACACCGTGTTCAACAAAACTGTTAATTTTGTCGAAGTCGACGATGTCTTCGACGCAGAGGCCATTATGTTGTATGTGTTGTTTGGCGCCATTGTGGTGCTAGTTGTTGTTATTGTTTACTACTACGGCTTCGGAGGAGCAGGATCGAACAAGCAGGCTGGGGGAGGGAAGAGGAACAAAGGGGGAGTGGTGGAGACGGGAACTGCGCACAAAAACGGCTCCGTAGTGGACGAGTGGCTCCCCGCACATGCAAGGAAGTCCCCAAAAGTCGCAACTCCCAAGTCGAAGAAATCAAAGAAGGAGAACTGAAGATGTGCCATCGAGATCGAGGAGAAAGGGGGGCTGTGATTTATGCTTAAAGGACTATATGTTAAGACCGGTGTAAAATCGTGGTGTATATTTGAAGAATTATCATTTCGTTGCTAAATTGTGTATTAATTATCGCCGAGTTCGAGATATTTTTGTGTTGCTGAAGTTGCATTATCGAAGTTTTTTGAACGGTTGAAGATCTAAACAAGGATTGCTGGTAACAGCCGCTCCCAAATTGGAAGCTTAGGCAATGGAAACTGAAATCTTTTTAAGTTTGCCTGAAAGTTTGCAGTCATTGTCAAAGTTATAAACAAAGCTTCAAGAAATTTATTGAGAATGTATGTTTCGGAAGCCTTATGATTCTCTGTATTCGTTCGATTTTGGTTAGAGATAGCCTTTGAAATCGACCTGAACTACATTGCAATGGGCAAGCTTGATTGAATGACTTGCTCAAATAGCCAGATGGTATAATTGACTCGAGGATTGGGCTGTTAGCATGTGTGTTGATTTACGTACATATGCATAAGGTTTTATTTCAACGAATATTTAATAAGCCCAAAAAAACCTTTAATTTCTCTGACATTTCAGGTCATCAAAAGTTTGAAATATAAGTCAAAAGTAAATTTTGTATAGACTTATTGAAAATCGGAGTGAAGCTGTTTCCTCTTATGCTAATAGGTGAACATGCTTATCGCTACGCCCTCAGTTGGTTCATTTGCAAGTCGCTTAATGCAGTTATGCCCACAAGAAGTTCTGCTTATCGCCGTAAACTGCGCTTCGTGTATTTATTGTACGATATCTAATAGTGGTTGGACAGGTACTGTTGATTTTGATAACATAAATTATATATTTCATGTCATATATTAAATATTCTGTGCTTAAAGCTGTTCTGAATTGCGAATCATTTGAATAATGAGAAAGAAATCAGCAGCTAAGTCTGGTTAATAGATATTAATGCATCTGTGTAAAATGACTTTTATTGTGCTTTTTTGCAAATGTTTTCATGAACAATTATTGTGAGGGGAATTCAAAGTTTGACTACCAGCATGCTTTTGAAAGTAAGACATATTTAAACAAAAGGTTTTTGCTTTAGAAAGCGATTTAGCTAAATTGTCAAATTGAAAGATTTTCAATAGACCTCTGTACTTTTTGATAAAATTTTATAAAATCGTTTGCTGTGCAAGTTGTCATCTCAGGAAAATTTGTAAAAGTTTCGAAACAAAACAAATCTGCGGTTTTTTTAATTGGTGAACGCTAATTGAAGTTTTAAGCCTGAAGCCTGAGGCAATACTTATTGAGAAGTTGAGCAACTGCTAAAGAACGTTTTTTTCCCCCTTTTGCGGTGCAAAATTGGAGATTTTTACTCACAAAAGTGCCTTGTTGTTCCGACCATTGAAAATGGGGAGGAACTTTGTATTCGGGTGTGTTTTAGTTTTTTTCTTTTGTTTTTCTCGCAAAATCAACTACCATAAATAATCACTGGATTGGATTGAGTGATATATAATATTAAAGCCCTTTCAGTCTTGGTTCAAACCATATTAAAAAATTGCCATCCATTTTTTCAAGTGTTGAGAAAAACCGGTTTGAATTTCCGCAAAAAATGAAAAGTTTGATTTTTTTTTATTTTCTAGTCATTTTCAAAAACTATTGTCCGGTTTGCCTATCTTACAATGACTGTCGAATATGCCTACATTTTTAAGGGTAATGAAAGTAGTGAAGACTCTTTTATAGTTCATGGTTATTGTAAGAAAAAGTCTTGAATTGTGTATAAAAGTCTCTAATAACTACAGACTATCATTCATAAATTCATGCATTTATGAATGCACATAGGTATATATACACTTTTTCAGTTCAATTGAAATTCATCTGCTGAAAGTGAAGCAAATAGCACTCTCCAAATACAAACGTTGATACAGTTTTCTCAAGTTGGATTAATGTTACCAAAAAAGCTCCAATCCTATATCGTTCTAGAAATTCAAAGAGCTTAAAGGGCATCTGTTTTTTTTCTTTGAAATTCGAAAGTTGAGATTTTTTCAACAAAGTGTTTTTTTTCACGTTTACTTGCGTTCACTACTTTTTTTCCAATCTTCAGTTGGCTATGTTAGTTTTATGTCAAACGCTTTTTTCACACCACGCAAAAAAAAGCTACAATAATTTAAAATAAAAACTTTTTTTTTGCTTAGAATTATTAAGACTGGTCGGAACATTTTGTGCTAATTGCACAGTAACCGGCTATCCTTGTTTCTTTTCGGTTCTGGACCAACTTAACATCATCCTTACAAAAATGTCAACAGGGGAGGATGTTAAATTGATTCACGTTTTGAAATTTCAGCCAATCAGAATTGAATATTTCCAGCAGTGCTAACCATTTAAATCCAATTCAAATAGTGTGCTGGAAGATCTTAAATTAGTTTATTGAACCAGATGTTAAGTTTATCCAGTTTTTGAATTTGTTCAACCAATCAGATGAAACGAGTGTGATTAAGTCACGTATAAAGAGTTTTACTCACGTTTCTGAAGGTATTGTCAGCCTTTTGAGAACCAATGGTGAATTTTTTCGCTGTACATTTGCATGATAACCAAAAATTGCAATTTTTGTTAACCAACAGGGATGAAAGTTTTCCCTGCAGCTATAATCTCAACTTAGAATATTTTAAAGTTTAATTCGGACGCAAGCTGATATTCATTAAGATTCAATTAACGTAGTTCAGCCTCTTGTATTGATCGTGATGAATATTTTTAACTTTTTTTTCAGGGAAAAGTCTTGAAGTTTGTTCAGGCTCAAATTAATTTTTTCGCGATCTAATTTTTTTTTCTCCGATTTCAGTTCATTTCCTTTGTTAAAAGGAAATTATATTCATCTATCGAACGGCAATGAAGGAAAGCTTACGAAAAATGTTGCTAATGTTTCGGATGTGCATTTTGTTCAAAAAATTTTACAGCGGCATAAAAATTTAGCCTACTGATGCAGTTTTCTCAATTTAGGTAAGTTTTGTCGACTAAGTTAGAAGCGTACATTTTTCTTGAATTTCGAAGATCTGTTATGGCGTTTTTTGTCATTTTAAAATGAAAAATGATGTTTTTCGAAAAAGAAGTCAGTGTTTTTTTTGTTTTTGTTTTAATGCGTTCAATAAAACTTTTCCAACCGTACAAATTTTCAGCCGTTTCCAACTGTACAAATTTTCATCCATTTTCAGTTTGCGTTTCCGAAGGGAAGCTCATTTGTTTCTGTTTTTTTTTCTTTCGAGAGATTACGGAGTGGTATGGAACTTCGCGGTATATTACATGCAATTTAAATTATTATAAAAAGCTAGGTGTCCATATGAAACAATTATATCCAAAGTAAGTGTTATATCCAAATCGGGTGATATAATACTAAAGGTGACAGCTTCACCTAATTTAACTCAGCTGAGCAAAAAACTTCGTTGACCACCGGGATTCGAACCGGTTCAGGTGAACCATCTGTCAAACAGTTTACCTACTGTACCAACCAGTCTGAGAAGTTCGAAGAGATAATTTTAGAAGTAAATTCCTAATCGAGAATAACAACTTCAACAGCGTTTGCCTTATGTTTTAATGCCTCATCATAAAAATTTATTGAATTATCCTTTTTTGCTAACTGGTGAGTATCGTGGCTAACACATTTGACTCAGCACCCATAGATCCGAGTTTGATTACCGCTGGAACCATTTTCTTTTTTGTAAAGACCAGTGAAAAGTAAACCTACCACTTAATGTTATATACTACCCAAGTTTCAAAAGTTTTTAAAAAATGAGTGAAACTTTTTGATTAATTAATTTTTTGATACCATCACGAGGCCAAACTGTATTTTGTGAGTTGTAAGCCGATTTCGCAACAAGGACGAGCTCTTTGTTCTCTTTTTGTTCTTTCATTCTCTTTGGTCGTTCCGACAAAATTTCAATACGTTGAAAGAATTGTCTCTGGATATCAGAGACATAGAAACACCAAATTTTGCGCTTATCCAGTGCAAATTTTGTCCTCGCAATGAAGTCCTACTCTTTCAACAACGCTAAACTCCCATCCAAAAAGCTGAAAAATTGGAGAGAAAAAAAAACGGAGAAAAGTTTTCTTAAAGCAACGTTGTGCAGCATTGTGCTTCTGTTGGTTATAAATCCTCTTGAACGAGTCAGGCATTAATTTTTTTCTATTTTTTTTGGGTTTGTGTTTGTTTTGCTTAAAATGGCACCACGATTCCTGGTTAGTTGTTGCGGCATGAAAAGACCAAATATGTTTCTCCGAGTTTTGAAACTCGACGTTCATCTTTTGATATCTGAAGGATGTCGACTCCCCGAACTCAAATTTGAAAGTATGCTCTCGGCAATATGTTTAATCGAATTACGATACTTACGCTTGCGGTTAGCAAGCGTTAATAAATCGTAATATATGTTTTTTTTGGGTCAACAACTAATTTAACAAAATCACTGAATCTTTTTTCGAGTTATCATTTGTGCTACTTGAAATTCTGCAGCAAATATGCTCAGTTTCTTGAAAGTTCAATTTCTACTACTGGTTAAGAAAATTAGTAGACGGCTTAGGCACTGGCTTGAAACCGGTCAGCGCTGTTTTTTTAAAACCCAAAATAATTAGTATAAAAAAAGCATTGGTTGCCTGTGCTTGTTTGTCATAAATCTTCATAGAAATTTTAGTTTTTCATGACAAGTTTTTTCCTTTTTTTTTGGCTCAAATAGGTTGCGGCCTTTTTTCGGCTTAGTGACCTCAATTTTTTTTCGTTTGACGAACAAACAAGTTTTGAGTTCAAGTGTTTTGAGGGTGAGGAGGACTTAATAATTTTTCAAAAATTTTTGTTCTTGTTCGTTTTTTTTTCGTCTTAAAGGGTTTCTGCTAAGGTTTTTTTTGGCTTTCTTTACCGCTTGGTAATTATTCTTCCGATGCTAATGTCATATTTTTTTCTTGGCATGTTTTTTTTAAATTAAAAGTAGCCTTATTCATTTTGATAGATTTAGTTTTTTTCTACCAGTTTCGTTTTTTTTTAACTTTCTAGCGGCTTTCTTGTTTTGTATCGCAAGTCGTGCGAAACTCATCTTCGCCTCTGTGTTTTAAACTTGTAATCCTGGACTTATTGTTGCGCGCTATATTGAACTTGTGTATAGGCTGCGAAAATAGTTATAAACTTGCGTATAGGCTGGTTATAAAAATCCGGCTCTAAAACTATCTCGCATTTCATTGAGAAAACTAAATGGTCTAACTCGTCCGTTTGTAATTATCACTTCGTAGCTGACGCTGCTGTTTGAGGAAAGTTTCAAATACGTTTAAAATAATTGCTGTTCTGAAACTCAACCTAAATTTTCTTAGAAAAAAAAATCTAATTTTGATACCTTGAGAAGCAATCTGAAAATTCAAGTTGCCCTGATATGTTCATTATTTTTCTTATTTTTTTGTTATTAGCTAGCTCGATCGATGTACTGCTTTTTTTCGTGCTGAAAACACTAATACTTGTTTTCTAGATAAAAGTATAGAATAAATATATCCCTCATATTGTAGTATTATTTTTAAGTTATAATCGTAAGCTTCTCCTCTTAAGCTTGCAACTAATTTTTTCCAGGGTAAAAGTATTTCCAAACATCAGGAATATCCTTTGCTGAATTAATCTACCTCTGAAATTGAATACGATCCTTCACCAATTTGCCACTACATGCTGGACGAAACAACAAACTTAGATCTTTGAACGTGTTTCTCTCAAAATAGATAAACTTCAGTCAAAAATCGATTAGGACAAAAATTTCTTACATTTTGCGATATAGTTCAACTTCAGTTTTGTTTTTGTCTCAAATTGTAAATTTGATGTAAATCAACACATTTACGCTAAAAAAAACAATTGCACCAATTTTGGAATAGTTTGTATCAAAAAAGGTCTCTCAATTATCCCAACAAATATCACAAGAAGAATATTGTTTCAATATTTGAACATTCGCATTTCTATTAGCTTGCTTTCAAATATCACAAGAAGAATATTGTTTCAATATTTGAACATTCGCATTTCTATTAGCTTGCCTTCAATGTGT